GGACATGACCAGGGGCAAGAGTCTCCCTCTGGGGCTGGGCAGCATCACATAGAGCACCCCCTCCCCACTCTATGACAGTGTGGGAGGAGCAGGGGGAAGAGGGGGGTTCTGTGTGAGGCTACCTGCCCCAGCACCAGAGGGGGACTCTTCCCCTTGCTTCTCCCTATCCTGCAGGGCAGGGAGGGGGGTGCTCCTTCCAGGGCTGCTGGGGAGTGGTTGTAACTGAGCTGCAGCCGCAGGGGGTGAAGAGCAGGGAGAAGTCCCTTACTGAGGCTAGGCTGGGCAGTCTCACATAGAGACCCCCTCCCAGCCCTGCAGTAGCAGCTGGGATGAAGAGGAACAGGAGTCCCCCTCCAGTGCCACATAGAGCCCCCCCTCCCTGCTCTGGGGGGAGGAGATGGGGGAAGAGGTCCCCCCTGAACATGGAGCAGAGCCCCTCACTCCCCACCCCAGGGGATAACCATCCTGGCATGGCCCCGCTCAGGTGAAGGGGGCAGGGAGAAGGGTTAATTCCTCTCTCCATCTCTTCTGGTCCTTTTTACCCTGCAGCCAGGGTTTGCCAGCCCCAGGGGCTGCTGCTGCAGCCCCCTGTCCCAGCAAATGGGTGGACCCTGGCTATGGTGGAGAAAGAAGGGAAGGAGGGAAAAAGTAACCTCCTCTCTGCCCACTTTGCCTTAATGGGGCTATGCTGGCCAGTGTCTTGCCATGTCCCGTCCTTGCTCAGGCTAAAGAGTAGAGGGGTGGGGCCAGGCCTACTCTGGAGCACAGAGCATGCTGGAGGACTCTGGTTTAACTTAAACCAGGAAGGGGTCTGGAACAGACATTATATAAACCAGTTTGAGCTTGGTCAGTTAAGTCTGATACTATGTTCAACCAGGTTTATCACAAACCAGTTTTGGCTGTTTTGAAACTGGTTTATGTGTACTGAATGTCTGTTCTGTTACGGGTTTAAACCAGTTTCTCATCACTTAAATCAATTTGTGCAATGTCTGTCCCTAGCCAAAATGCCAGTGGCTCACTCTATAATCCAGCTCTTAATGTTGCTACAGCTAATGAAGCTGAACTACCTGTTCTACAGATAACCCTGTAAAGTTTTAAAAGGAAATATTTTAAATCCATATAGATGAACTCTTAAGGAAATACAGTAGGAAGCTTTATTAGTATTTTTGTTTAATGTTGTTAAACACTACTTTTTTTGAACAGAAATATATTTTTGGGAGAGACGTTTTCCAGTTATATCAGCGTACATAATGATAGTAACCAAGTTGTCAAGGACATACTGGTAAAGGTATGTGAAAATATTTCTATATATTGACTTTATAAATACACTAGATATTGCACTTCTAAGGTTTTATGCAGACTTTTAAGAAATTACCATTGAAGATTTTCCTAGCCCAGGAAAATCTTTATGTAGCCAGAAACAAAACCATAAAATATTTTAAAGATACAGCCGACAATGGGGATAGCACCTAGAAGCAAAAAAGGAGACTGTAGAAGTGTAGCTGAATTTTTCTACAGCAGAGACCATCTACAGTTGTATTCTGTTCCAGCTATAGAATCAAAGCAGTCTTCAGACAGTTCCAGGTAGAACACGAGTGCATTTGTATTTTATAAATACCTCAAACAAGTATAATTCCAGCAAGGATTGGTTGCTCTCATTTAACAAAAATAAGTTAACACCTAGATCCTGGAAGCCTTTCGGGGTGGAACTCTGAAGTAAGTGGAAGTTCTGTGGGAAAAAGGTTTTCAGGATGTGATTTGATGTGTGTGCTGGTGACAAGATTAATATGTGAAGCTTTCCTAAAATTATTACAGATACAAATGCAGTTAGTCACTTTATAACTAAATAACATTTGATTTTCTGGTAATCACAATTTCCAAATATTTGACTAATCGGCATTTAAACAGAAAATCTGCAATAGACTACCCAGACCATGGATCTAAATTAAGTCTCTCTCTCCTCCCTCCCTTTTTGTACTAAACTGTACTTTATTTAGTACTTACGTGAATTAGGACTGCAAGCTGACATTGCAATAAAATTTTCCTGGCCTGCAAGCTTGGGATGCTGCAGATTAAAGTCTTGTTTATATTCCCATTCATTAAAAAAGCAACATGTAATCATTGTGCCCATATCTGTGGGTGGTTTGTTTGTTTGTTTGCTTTTAAAAAAGGCTCTAAAAATTGGAATAAATTCTGATGACTTCGCCTTCAATTTATATACAGCAGACTGAATTAATTGTAACGTTCCTCAAAATATATTTTTACTATGTTGCTGTTTAGATACAGCCATCTGGAGACAATTCTAACTGGCATTACATTTGTCAATTCCAAGGCTGATCTTCAAACAAGTTCTCAGCGTCTAAACCTTTCAGCTTCCAGCGCGGCAGTGGCAGAACTTAAACCCGATTGTTGTATCGATGATGTTATTCACCATGAAGTAAAGGAAATAGGAACACACATGTAAGGTTTTATATCTCCTCCTTTATTATATTTCTATCTCTGAATTTTTTTTAATAGGAAAAGGCTCGTTTTCCATTAAATTTATATCTAACTTGCTTCTACATTTAAATCACTGCAAAGTTACTGTAAAGCATAAATGGAAGCACTGCACGTGCACAATGTTTTGTTCTGTTCCTGCTTTAGTGCAGACTTCAAGGTAAAAATGGTTCAAAATTATTAAAATGTTTTTTTCTTTCAGCTTAGTGTGTGCCGTAAGTTACACAACCCAGGCAGGAGAGAAGATGTACTTCAGAAAATTCTTCAAATTTCAGGTATTGAACATAAGAATATGCTGCATTTTGAAACTAGCTGGTAACTGTTTACTTAAAAATATTGCAAAGTACTTACTATATGATAGAAAGCTCCAATCAGCTATAAAGTTAGACCTCAAAAATGTATACTGACTATATAGCTGGTCCCAATGAGCTTTCATCTGCACACATAGCAGGGTCTTCCCCATGGCTGAGAGCCCCATCAGCTGATGAGGCTCCTAGCCACAGGAGTAAATCCTAGCCAGCATGTAACCCCTGGAGATGTGCGGTTTCCCAAGGCCAGCTGCAGCAATGCAGGAGGGAGAGGGGAGACAGGCAGCACAGCCTGACCAGGCAGGTAGCAGCCAGCAAGGAGTTCTACCAGCCTGCTGCAGCTGCTGCTTCTTCCCCCCCACCCTCCTTGTTCTTTCCTCCTGTCCTGCTTCCTTCCAGTTCCTGCTGGGGCTTTGCAGGGCTTTTCTCCAGCACCCCTTCCCTCCCAAGCTGCATTTGGCCCCAGGCTAAACAATAAACAGCAAGTTAGAACCAATTATCACTGAGCTGATTGGTTAAACAATTAATCGTTTAACTGTTCACATCCCTAGTATCCAGAAAACAATAGATAGAAAAAACCAGAATGTACGTAGTGTCTGAAAATAAAAATTCCTTGTGTCCAATACCTTCAGATTTTTAAAAGGGGGAAGGAACAGAACTAAAACATTTTACAAGAAAAGTGCTTCCTCAGGGAGCTGCAAACATAGCAAAATATGCATGTGATTACAATCTAACAGGTTCTCATTTAAACACACACCATAATTGCACATTAAGCAGCTGATTCACCTTCACAGTGGTATTGTGGAATAGCAGTAACACATTGTCATCAGAGATCGCATGGCTTTCCCTCCTCTGCCCTGATTAAAACTGTCTTTCATACAAAAGCTTGTCTAACTCGATCCTAACTATGCAGTTGGTCCAGTAAAAGTTATCAACATAAGACACCCTTGCCTCTGTTGAAAATATGAAAGTCAAAAATATCAGTATTGTATGGGCATGAATGATTTGCTTCATGTGGATTGTGTCCTGTCAGAACAGATACCAGTTAACTTATTCAGGACTTGCTTTTAATTATCCTCTCCCAGCTTCTTAGGTTCTGGAAATGTTTACAGTAATGAAGAAATGGTGGAAATGTGTGAGATTTACCAAAAAAACCCACCCTTCATCTAATGTTAACTATTAACAGGGGAGTCTTAATATTTTCATTAGGAACAAAAATAAATAGCTTCATAGTTGGTAGGGTCTGAAGGGACCTGAGCAGATCATCAAGTCCGACGCCCTGCCATGACAGGAAAGAGTAGTGGGGTCAAACGATCCCAGCAAGGTGTTCATCCAGCCTCCTTTTAAAGACCCCCCAGGGTAGGAGCCAGCACCTCTTCTCTTGGAAGTTGGTTCCAGATCCTAGCTGCCCTGACAGTGAAGTAGCACCTCCTGATATCTAGTCTGAATCTACCCTCCGCCAGCTTGTAACCATTATTTCTTGTCACTTCTGGTAGTGCTTGGGGGAACAGGGACTCCCCCAATGCCTGCTGGTCCCCTCTGACTAGTTTGTAAATGACCACTAGATCCCCACCTCAGCCTTTTCTTGTGGAGGCTGAACAGTTTCAGGTCCTGAAATAAAAGAATTAGTTGCTGCCAAGATGTAGTTTAAAAGCCTTGGTTAGAATATTATGTAGTTCAGGGGCAGGCAATTATTTTGGGCAGAGGGCCACTTACCCAGTTTTGGCAGGCTGTCAAGGGGTGCATGGGTAGCCCTGCCCCTTGACAGGTGCCCCACCCCCTGGTCACCATCTTGGGACCAACATTCCAATGTCTTGGGACCAGTGTCCCAGGGCCAGCACCGGTGGGGCCCAGAGTGGGGCACAGGCCAGCTGGGGTCTGTGGAGCCGGGCTGGGCTGCACCAGCAGGGATGGGAGAGCTAGCCCGGCTCCATAAAGCCCCTGCTAGCTGGGACCCCGCACTCCTGCCACCCTGCTCTGGGCCCCGCTGGCACTGGTCCTGGGATACCGGTGCAGGCCCTGTGCTCCCACTGGCTCCCCATCCACTCACACCTAGTGCCCCCCAGCTCCGCAATACAGGCGGGGGGCAGCACTCAGCCCCAACCCCCTGCTCACCAGCAGGGAAGAAGCTGGTACTGAGCATAGGGAAAAGTGGCCCCTTGCCTGTCCCATGGTTGGCACCCTGCGCTGCTGGCGCTCGCAGCCCACGCAGGGCTGTCTGGAGCAGGCACAGGCAGCCTCATGTGGGCTGCAGGTGGCTGCAGTTTGGGGCGCTGGGCATGGGGCAGGCGAGGGGCCACTTTTCCTGCACTCAGCACCAGCTTGTAACCTGCCCCCACTGCCAGCCTGGGGGGTGGGGGAGAAGCAGCCCCTCCCTGCCCCATGCCCAGTGTCCCGCACTGCAGCTGCTCGCAGCTGGCCTGGAGCTGCCTGTGCCTGCTGCAGACAGCTCCGGATGGGCTGCAAGCACCTGCAGTGTGGGGCACCAGCCATGGGGCAGGAAAAGGGCCGCTTTTCTCCATTCAGGGAAGGAGCGCAAGGAAAAGCTGAGTGCGGGGGCGGGGGGGGGGGAAGCAGCCCCTCCCCTGCCCCACGCCTGGTGCCCCATGCTGCAGGCGCTCGCAGACTGCATGGGGCTGTCTGGAGCAGGCACAGGCAGCCCCAGGTGGGCTGCAAGCAGTTGCATCGCAGGGCACCAGGCGTGGATGGGGAGGGGCTGCTTCCCATCCCTCGCTCCTTCCTTACCCGGGGTTCCCCCCCCCCCCTTAGCTGAGCTTCTTGCATGGGGCAGCCACATGCTCCCAGCCCAGAAACCGCAGTTGGGGCTTCCGGTTGGGGGAGCAGGGATGAGCGGGCCCCGCTGTTGTTGGAGCCCACCGGTTTTTTGACAGGAACCAAGGGCAGAGAAATATTAATTTTCTATAATTTTTTAGGGGCCCTACAGGTCAGATAGAATGGCCTCACGGGCTGGATCCAGCCCACAGGCCGTATTTTGCCCACCCCGAAGTAGTTAAACCTTGTTAAACTCAAGGCACCCCACAAAATATTACAGCTCTTTGCTTTCGCTTGTTTTTTGACTATAGAATAATAATAAATATAATAATAATAAAAAGGGGACCAGCAGGCACTGGGAAAGTCCCTGTTCCCCCGTGCACTACCAGGAGTGACTAGGAATAACGGTCACAAGCTGGCAGAGGGTAAATTTAGGCTAGATAGCAGGAGGCGCTACTTCACGGTCAGGATGGCTAGGATCTGGAACTAACTTCCAAGAGAAGTGGTGCTGGCTCCTACTCTGGGGGTCTTTAAGAGGAGGCTAGATGAACACCTTGATGGGATCGTTTGACCCCACTACTCTTTCCTGCCATGGCAGGCGGTTGGCCTTGATGATCTGCTCAGGTCCCTTCCGACCCTAGTAACTATGAAATAGAGCAATTTTTCTGTTTTAGTGTACTTGGAGACCACAACAGATCAGAAAGTTTCTGACATTATGGATTCCTATTTTAAATCTCTGCGTTTATCTTGTGAATCATGGATAGGTGTTAGCACCTAACTGTGCTTATATTGCATGGTACCCCACAAAATCCTTCAAAGGATTTTATGGCACCCCAAGGTGCTGTGCTACCTTGGATTTGAGAATGCTGAGTTAAAGGATTTTATGTATGTTTATGCAGTGTACATAAAGCTCGAGAGCAGGCACATTAGATAGTTTTTAAAAACACCAGAGTGACAGGACTCCAAATAAAGACAGAACAGATTAAACAGACTTTCCTGTGTAAAAATAGCTTTAATGATAAAGATATTTTATGAGAGATGTTTGCTAGAAACTGGAATACTCAGAGAGGTGATCACAGGATATGAGTGAGTATAAACTATGTTCAGTTTATAAAGCTGCTTCTGGACACTAATTGAGTATACCTACAGCATCCTTGGAAACTTTTGATGTAGTACTTTGAAATGTTCTCTGTCTCCTGTAAAGAATTTAAGACCCAAGGCTTGCTTTAGGCTTTCTTGTGTAAAAGTCCATAATTTTAGTGAGTTTTGTATAGTACAGACTTCTATATGTAACCATGTTTGGGAAAAACTTTCTTCCTCAAATGCTTTATAATGTCAGAACACATGCAAATCGCAAATCCATGTGATATAAATGATCTAATGGCATGATATCAAGCAGAGAAATGCATAAACAAACCCACGTGATTCAAGATTTATACGTACAGAGAAAGGTAACCCCCTCACCCCCCCCCACCCCCGAATAAGTTTGCAAAGTCTTTGGAAAGACTGATTTGTTTAAGATTTTTCACTAGGATAGTTTGGCATTAGATAAGAACTAGATTCTGTCCATTTTTTTTAGTAAGTATGGGGGCTTGTAGTAGAGGTGCACTGATGCATTGGTCCATATCATATTGGCACCAATAAAAGGAAAATTTGACATTATCGTCAATCAGCTTTTTTTTGGCTGATGTAGCTGATAATGTTGCTGATAAATGCTGTGTGTATGGACGCAGCTATAGCATTCACACAGCCAGGAGGGCAGCATAGCCATGTGGAGAGCAGTGTCCGGCCGGTAAGTCTTGTAGGGGGAGGGAAGGGGACAGATCAAGGTGCTTATGGTGAGGGAGGGAATGGGGATGGGGCAGGGGCAGGCACTGCATAGGTGGGGCAGGGCATGGGATGAAGGTGCAGGCAGCTCATCTGGGGGGACGCAGGGGGTGGCTCCCACTAATGTGTGCAACCCCAGGATAGGCATGGCGGCATGTGCCTCCCAGATCTGTGCATGGGGTGAGTGGGAGCTGCCTGCTGTACGCTCAATTCCAGGGCTGCATTAACCTCTTCCCAGCAGGGGGGCTAAGCCAGGGCTGTGCTCGGGGCAGGGCAGGAGGTGGTGGAGCTGAGGGGGAAGGGGGTTATGCCTCAGCCAAGCCCCTCTGCCGGTAAGAGCCAAGCACAACCTCCGGCCCTAAGCATGCAGCAGGCAGACCGCCCTCACCTCACACCATGATTCTCCTGGGGTGTGCACAGCAATGGGAGCCACCCCACCCTTCCTGCTCCACCACATCCTCTGATGAGCTGGCTGTGGCTGCATCCCATGTCCAGGCCCCAGCCCCTCCCTCACCGTAGGAGCCTCTATCTGCACTCCACACATCCTTTCCCCTCCCTGCTCCTCCCCCCCCCCCCCCC